GAGTGAGTGAGTGAGTGAGTGAGTGAGTGAGTGAGTGAGTGAGTGAGTGAGTGAGTGAGTGAGTGAGTGAGTGAGTGAGTGAGTGAGTGAGTGAGTGAGTGAGTGAGTGAGTGAGTGAGTGAGTGAGTGAGTGAGTGAGTGAGTGAGTGAGTGAGTGAGTGAGTGAGTGAGTGAGTGAGTGAGTGAGTGAGTGAGTGAGTGAGTGAGTGAGTGAGTGAGTGAGTGAGTGAGTGAGTGAGTGAGTGAGTGAGTGAGTGAGTGAGTGAGTGAGTGAGTGAGTGAGTGAGTGAGTGAGTGAGTGAGTGAGTGAGTGAGTGAGTGAGTGAGTGAGTGAGCGTAGGCAGCAACTGTTGGTGTTATGTATGTCAGGAGTTTGTTGGAAATGCTTTTCGTAAGGCGCCAAGTCTCCCAACCATCATATAGAAGCACTGACTTGCTTGACTGACATTATTGTTGAAAATCATGATGTTGTTCACGCTTTATGTTGAGTGCAGTGTATTGGAGTGGAGTACAGTGCAATAGGTCTCCACACTGATTTCGAATGAAGGAAGGAAGGCCTATCTTTGTGTGTTTCCGATGCTGGATTTGACATCCTCATCTGTGCCGCCGCCGCCGCCGCCTGTGGTAGTTGAAAGGATGCTGCTTGTGAAGGTAGGTGAGTAGGTAGGTAGGTAGTTAGGTAGGTGACAGAGACAACTTTCTTTAAATTTCTCCCATTGATGGTGATTGCGGCTTGCTGTTGGTGTTGGTGGTGGTGATGGTTGGGTATCTTCATCACCTGTGTCTTCTCTACGTTCACCTTAAGTCCCGTCTTCGCTGATGGAACCCGATAACTCACCTTTCACCGAAAGTGGTGGAAATTAGAGAAATCTGGTTGAGACTTTTATATCCATTCTCTGGTTTCATTAACTAGGGGTACTACGACTTTTAGGTAAATAAAGTGTCAAAACATCCCACCAATTCACTGCATTTTACGTCAATACCAACTAGTTCTGAAGCAACAGTTTACATTTTGGAAATGAGAAAAACTCAAGTCATTACTCGATGTTTTCAGAAGACTCTATATTTTATCGGAATTTTCTCTTAACAAGATAAGAATTTTAGAGTTCCCCAATTCAATCGCTTTATCTGATGACTTAGGTTTATCACATTAGCATGTGGTAGAATTGAGTTTGGTTCAGCGTAGCACTTTTTTTGCCTTACTTTGCTGCGAAAAATGTAGGATTGCGTTTATCTATGTAATTGCTGACCTATATTATCAATCAAAAATATGATAACTAATTAGTAGTTCTGTCATATTTAATGAACTAATCTATAGAATGTTATACTGGTATACATTTCATATCGATAGCTGAACCTCCCAATCACAACCACGGTCACCTAGACAAAATGTTTACGTAAATCACAAACAATGAATACACTTCATAAAAGCAGACATGAGGAATTATGCTACTTAGACTGCATATGCAGCCTGAGCGGCTTACATCCAGAGCATGGTTCACAGAAGACATCATACTTGAGATTGTAAATTTATCTTACAGATAAGAGCCACTTGGCATAAGATCTATGTTGAAGTCTTATTTTATCAACCGTCTCTAAGTATGTCACAGTAAATACAAGGTGCTGAGATGTTTCACCTCGCCACACCGCTTCACGTAGTCGATAAACGCTATAAATCATGTCATTATGCTGAACCACCTTCAGAAAAACAATCTATGGATGGTTTGTATTCATCATTCGTCAAAGAAGCATATTTTCAGTATGTATTTTTGGCGTACATTCATCGAGATTTTACATAACAGCTGTTACACGTCGCCTGAAACTAAAGAGTATGTAAGACCGAGGTTTGACCTGAGGCTGTTGCTGAGTGCTAACAAGTTTGAAACACAGGTAGGTCCAAAGTCTTTCACCGGCTCCCTAGAAGTACCCCACATCAAATTAGTCGCATCATGATATCCGATCCCTTAGTTTAGTATAAGCACACTGTAAACTCGGAAATCCTTAAACTAGACATGTAATGGTTAACATCTTACATGTTCAGCCTTACAACAGAGAGAGTATCAATAGTTCTAGCTATTTATTTCTGCTCATTGTGTAGGCCACTTCATCGACTACTAGATGGTTGCTGCTTTTGTTATCTAATCTCGTGTACCCGTCGATTAAGTTTTGCAATATGACCACTAAAGTGATTAATAAGCTATTTCAGTGAACTGTATTTGATGTAAGGTGTTATGGGTCAATTGGTAGGAAATTTTCCTGAATACATTCGTTTCGTGTTGGTTAGATCACATTGGTAGTGTAGCCGCAATCTTGAGGAGCTGTCAAAAAGCATAAAATTCATTAGGATTGCAGATGATGTCGTGGTGATGAATTCCAGCAAGCATGAAATCTATGCCCGCCACTGCTTCCTTTTGATTACTTCATTAATGAATGCCCATTGCCAGAGTTTCAAACTAGATTTTCATTGGCTTTCTGGCCAATGTCGATTCTCACTTAGGTAACTAGTTCACTAGTATGATCCTTTTTATATGATACCGTCGTTGATTGGACCGAATTGATCGGTCTCTATTGGCATATGAGCTCCTGTGCGGATGCCTCGATATTGCCAGTGTTTTAATTATGTGAATGATGGATCGTGGCTAGCAGTAGAATCCAGGATGTGCATTCGGTTCTATTTAGGACCCGTCAGTTGGATTCAGAATTACGACCAGAATCCGAAAGACATCATGACAGGCCTTTCTTCATCCGAAATCAGTGTGGAGACCTACTGCACTGTACTCCACTCCAATACACTGCACTCAACATAAAGCGTGAACAACATCATGATTTTCAACAATAATGTCAGTCAAGCAAGTCAGTGCTTCTATATGATGGTTGGGAGACTTGGCGCCTTACGAAAAGCATTCCCAACAAACTCCAGACATACATCACACCAACAGTTGCCGCCTACGCTCGCTGACTCACTCACTCACTCACTGGATACTGACATTGAAGATCAGAAGGCCAGAATAATAAGAATAAGCAAGGAGGAACTCTCGCTGGTTGGCTGGCTGGCTGGCTGGCTGGCTGGCTGGCTGGCTGGCTGGCTGGCTTGTTAGCTGGCAACGAACCAACCAACCAGGAAGCTATCGCCCAACAAATATGCAGAAGAAGAAAGTGGAGATGGATTGGATTGGATTGGACATACACTGAGAAGACCATTTGGGGACATCACTCGTCAGGTCAGACCAGACAGGCCGTTGAGTGTACGCCGAAGGGGAAACGATGAGTTTGGCATTCGAGGAGAGGCTGACGTGGAGTAGACTGTGTGAGGAAGAAATGAAAAGTTATGGGCATTGGTGGAGTCAGGTTGAAAAGACGAGAGAGAGAGGGACAGAAATGGAGACGTGCTACTGAAGTCCACCAGGAACGCAAGGGACAAATAATTATAATAATCGATCCATTGCGAGAAACCCTTCCTCGCAAAGATTCCAATTGAATCATTTGATTTCTCCAACTATTGATCTCTACTGTTTGGTCAATGTTTAATTAGCAGTCTAGATTATAGACAGTTCATAGCATTAGTGGTTGACTTTGTGAATTGGCGTTATATTTCATGCTGACGGTTGTGCTAATTTTGAAGTTTATGTCTTGAGAGTAATTACTAACCAGGTATACTTTTGCACACTAAACCGTGAGGGTTGTGTTGCATGTTTGTGTGTGTCTGTAACACCACTCGATTGAAGAGATTTGAGTTAGTGGAGTTCGCTGAAACCAATGATTGCTTATAATGAACCATGCTTTCTTTCGTCCTTTATAGAGGTAATGTTCTCTATGAGGAGTGAAGTTAGATGAAATATATCATAATAGATTACCACCATATTTATGTATACTTTTCAGATAGATTTCACTAACATAAATGTACCAACGTGATAGGCCCTAGGCTAACATATAGAAAGTAGGTTCTGATGTCTGGTTTTCACCTACACTGATTTTGATGGCTTGGTAATATGCTTCACTTTCAAAGTGTCAAGGAGCTCGCATAACTTTGAGTTTTAATTTTTATGATTACCATTCAGTCTTCTTTTTCTTAGTGTACATGAGTCATCATTCTTGTAGGAATATATACGTTGCTGAGGAGCATCAAATAATTACTACTTTTTCATCTGGAGCTTCTCCACATGAGAGTCAATCTACGGTTTATACGTATTGTAAAAGACTACCCCTGGGTTACTCCATCGAGATGGAATTGACAGTATTTCCCCCCTTACTATGAGCCTCGTGCAGTACTACACCCCCTTCATCTGTTATCGTCATGAGTATTCGTTCTCTCTTGAGACCTAGATGACCACATTAAGACTTTAAAGCATCCACCTCGAAGGAAGTCTTTCATGGGCTGTAGGTCATGGAGAACCGTATAAGTATAAGGCGATATCCTAAGGACAAAAAAATATACAATTAGGGGTTTTGTGACGGTTAAATGGTTGACTTTCAAGTAGTTTTTGTCATGGGTTGCTGGCAGCTGAAGAAGCACTCCGAAGCTGATAGCACTGGACAACTATTTGGTTCTAGTTTGGGACTCTTAAGGAGTATGCACTCAAGACCGCATGAAAAATTGACATTCATAATTGTGCACTCCTGAGGAGTTCCGTACTAGAAATACTTCTGTAGTTTACTTCGTGATGAAAACCACTTTCGAATCAATGAAAGTATACTTTAATGAGACGAAAAACTGACAGTTCATTAATTACTCCTACCTTTGAAAGAAAACAGCCATAATGATCATATTTCTAAAGAGATTATGCATATGTGCTTATTCTTCTACTTCTGTCAACTTACGATATTTCCCAACTATTATTCAATGTATTTAGTAAAACTCCATTGTTACACCAAATTCCGGTTAACATCAAAAGTTATGACTACCCATTAGATATTTGAGAAGTTCATCTTGAATCTAGTCACTAACGGACACCAAACTTTATTACAGTTGTGTAGAGTTTACTAGGGGAAGATCAATTTCAAGGCAATCAGTGCTTCTTCTAGCCAGCGTGAATCCGTGATGAAAATCACTTTGGAATTCGGTGATACTTTTCATTGCCAACCAACTTTTACAGTAATTAAGAATACACCTTTTATTAGATTTTTTATTTGTGAAAGCAAAAGTAAACGTGGGGACATGGAATGCCCGCACCATGTTTGAACCCAGTAAGGCAGCCCACATTGCAAACGAGATGAGAAGGTATGGCACTGAAGTGCTAGAAATCTGCGAAAGCAGGTGGAATGGGAGTGGACTCTCCAAACTGTCAACTGGAAAATCAATAATCCACTCCGGTCACCCAGACGACAACCACAAGCACATTGACTTTTGGAGTGGCTATCATGATGTCGCAGGCTCTCATGCAGTGGGAACCAATCTCCTCCTGCAGGATCATGACAGCAAGGTTCAACTCAAAAGGAAGGAAGGTCACAATCATACAATGCCAATGCTACGCACCTACAAATAATGCAGAGCAAGAGAAAAAGGAGGAATTCTACAGACAACTGCAATCAGAGCTGGACAAGACGTCAGTTGGCGATATCAAAACTCTAATGGGTGACATGAATGCCAAACTGGGAGGGGACAACACAGTAAGAGAACAAACCATGGGTCGAGAAGTGCTAGGTGAAATGAACGAGAATGGAGAATTGTTTGCAGAATTCTGTGCATTCAACGATTTGGTGATTGGAGTCAGGCAGTGTGTTCAAGCACAAGGATATCCACAAAACGACATGGATTCGATTTCACCAGATGGAAACACCACACTAAAAATCAGATCGACTTCATCTCAATGTGAAGAAAATGGAGACGCAGTCTACTTGACACAAGGTCAAGAAGAGAAGCAGATGTAGGTTCAGACCACTATCTAGTGCAAGGAACCTACCCTCGAAATCAAGTTGAAAGTCTTCGAGGAAGCTGGTGATAGACCTCAGTTCAAGTACAACACTCGGAAACTGAAGTATGAAACTACAAAGGAAATCTTCACGGCAGCCAGCCATCAAGACTAAATGGGAGATATCGAGGAACATCCCTGAAGAAACCTGTGTGGAAGAACACTGGAAGTCTTTGAAAGAGATGCGGAAAGAAACCTGCACAGCCGTGTTAGGAAGGAAGAGGAAACAAGACAAGACAAGGTAGGAATGGATCTCGATGGACACATGGAAACTGATAGAGAAGGGAGAGGAAAATGGTGAAGCAGAAGATAAACCAGTGCAAGGATGCTCAACGACAAGAGGAACTGAGTACAATGTATAAAGCACTCACTGGACAAAGAAGTGAAGAAGAGTGCACGCAAAGACAAAAGACACTTCTACGAAACACTAGCAAGTGAAGCAGAACAGGCTGCAGGTAAGAGAGACCTGACGACATTGTATCAAATAACCAGGTTGCTATCTGGGAAGAGATCAAAGCAGACGAAACCAATAAAAGATGATGAAGGGAATTTAATTACCAAAGAGAGAGGAGAAACAAAGGAAACAATGGGCCGACCACTTCAAGAAGCTCTTGAATCGACCACCACCTACACTTCGTCCAGAAATGCTACCTACAGCCACAGAACTACAAGTGAACATAAATCCTCCAACAAAAATGGAAGTCCTGAACGCCATAAAGCTACTGAAATGCGGGAAAGCAGCAGGACCGGATGGGATCCCGCCAGAAGCACTGAGAACAGACGCAGAGACAACAGCGGACATGCTCACACCACACCACTATTGCAGAAGGTGTGGAAGGAAGAGAAGGTACCTACCAGTTGATTGGAAGAAGGGTTACCTTGTCAAACTCCCGAAGAACGGAGACCTCAGTGTTTACAAGAACTGGCGTGAATCACTCTTCTGTCCACCCAGTGCAAGCAAAATATTAAGCCGCATCATCCTGGAGAGGCTTAAGGATGCACTTGATTCAAAACTACGACCGGAACAGGCTGGCTGGCTTCAGGGAGTACAAATGATGTGCAGACCAAATTGCAACGCTTCGCATCATCATAGAACAGAGTATAGAATGGGAGTCAACTCTCTATCTCAACTTTATCGACTTTGAGAAGGCCTTTGACAGCGTCGACCGAGAAGTAATTTGGAAACTGCTTCATTACTACGGAGTACCGCAAACCTTTATCCGCCTCATTCAACAACTATATGAACATGCCACATGCCAAGTAATTCACAATGGGAAGCTCAGTGGTGCTTTTGAAGTGAAGACAGGAGTGAAACAAGGTTGCCTACTATCCCCCATGATATTCCTGATTGTGGTGGACTGGATCATGCAGCAAACAGTGGGGAGCTGTGAGAAGAGGGGGATACGCTGGACCGCGGAAAAGAACCTAGAAGATCTGGATTTCGCCAACGATGATGATTTATGTCTGATGTCATACAAACTTGAAGATCTACAGGCAAAAACTAATAAGTTGTTAGAAGAGGCAGCGAAGACGGGACTTCAGGTGAATATAGAGAAGACAGAAGTGATGAAGATACCGCACCACCACCATCAACAACAACAACAAACTCCAATCACCATCAACGGGAGAAACTTGAAGGAAGTAACCTCCTTCACCTATCTAGGAAGCACTGTTTCAACTACAGGTGGCACAGGCACAGACGAGGATGTCAAAGCCAGTCAGGATCGGAAAAGCAAGACAGGCCTTCATTAGCCTGAAACCAGTGTGGAGATCTTCTGCACTCCACTCACCATGTGGAACAAGATCCAGATTTTCAACACCAACTCAGTCAAGTCAGTGGTTTTGTATGGCTCAGAGACTTGGCGCGTTACGAAAGGGATTTCCAATAAACTACAGACATTCATCAACAACTGCTTACGCTCACTCGTTACTGACACTAAAGATCAGATGGCCAGAAAGAATAAGCAATAAGGAGCTCTGGGAACGAACCAACCAAGAACCTATCGCCCAACAAATATGCAGAAGGAAGTGGAGATGGATTGGGCATACACTGAGAAGGCCGACTGGGGACATCACGCGTCAGGCCAGGCCGTCGAGTGGAATTCCCATGGGAAGCGACGAGTTAGGCGTCGGTGCCGAGGGTGACATGGAGGAGATCGTGAGAGGTGGAAATGAGAGCTTGTGGGCTGTCGTGGAGCCAGGTTGAAAAGATTTCAGAGAACAGAGTTCACTGGAGGCGTGCTAGTGAATCCCTATGTTCCATTAGGAACCCAAGGGACTAATAATAGTAATAATAATAATTATATCAAGATGTTCTAACTGATTGATCATGAGATGGTACGAGTCTGACCTTTATTTTCTGTTGATCATCACAATTTTTGTCTCATCTGCCTACCTTATTTTTGCTTTTTCGTTTTCACTTACCATAAGTAATATCTATGATGTGAATCATATCATGACTGAGTCATGTGTCTAACCAACATCTTTCGCGTTATTACAGCATACTACATATATATATCGATTTCAATCCCTACTACTGGTGCGTGCGTACAAACGCAACAACTTAAATTCGATCAATATTTGAGACGCAGAGATAGATGGATAGACAGACAGGTAGATAGAAAGACAGACAGAAAATTCAATCCATTTTGTGAGCTATGATTGATCAAGAGTTAACCAAATCATATCTATCACAAATATTGGGCTCTGAGTAAAAAGATTTAACATTAGATGTAGACAGTATTTGCATCAATAATTAAGGGAAGAGACTTGAACCAGTGGGAACCTGTTGAAATTATTTTTTTATTACAACCACGTTGAGATTTATACAAATAAAACTTATATCTACTGTCAAGTTAGTCCATTTGGTGAATTTGCATAACTTCATAGGAAGACAAAGTTTATCTGAGAAGTATGATTCAATCGCAGGAAGGATTTCAAACGATATGGTTATACACTTAATGATCAAGATATTTTATATGAAAAAAGGGGGGAGGTAATCGAAGATTCAGGAATAAGAGCACAATAGTGGAAAGATATCATGCTTTTTAATGTCCCCATCCTTGATATTCAAGACAATAAAATGAAGACTGTCGAGGAAAGTTTTAGGCTTCGAACAATCTGAGTATCCTCATCTGACAACTTATGTATACGGTCACTACTAAAGCACAAGCGAGTATGATACTGAAGTTATTCAAATCACATTGCGCAATGACACTCACATGAACAGATAAATATGTGACTAATCAGTCCTCTAGAATCGAATTAGGTGTTTGCAAAAATACTCAATCCGTAGCGAGAAAATCAAAATATTCACATCACATAATATGATCTCCTTGAGACCACAATTGATGACAGTCCACTTAAGTAACTAGTCAGAATTCAGGTAGTTTAAACGGCTCGGTTGTCTGAGCTGGATCAGCCAGGGCAAACTGCTGATGAGCTTTGCCCCAAACGAGCGAAACAGTCGTACGGTGTTTAGACCACCTAGCTGTTGGAATGCCCTAGTTTGCATAAAACAGTCTTATCGATCTGAAACTCTTTAGACTGTCGTCTTCACATCATTTTTTACAGCATGACTAGTAGTTTATTTTCTGCCCCTACTGTAGTGTAATTCGCTGATTGGTTACTGCCTATTTTTACTATGTTAATGTCTCAAATTGCGGACAAGGTCATATTTCATGTGTATACATACTCACGTGTTGTTTGAATTAATCTATTATCATATTCGGAGGAACAAACTCTCCCATCCAGCTTCAGTTCTCTCTATTCGTCCCGGGTTGCAGTCGGTGGCTCTTGCGTACGAAGACAGCTGTCAGTTAAGCGTGGGTATTATAACCGCTCGCAATACATGGGACTAGCAACGACTGCTTATTGGTGTGAGTGGTTCAGAACTGCTCATTTCAGTTATTAGTATGTTACGTGTAACCTGTTCTCCATTAGACTGTCTATTCTTGCGAAAGAAACTCTTCCCCTTAGGCCTAATTTTTCTCTCCGTTATATAAAGACTTCAGACTTGGCGATCGATGTCCAGTTAGTTTGAAAATGGGCATGATAATCTGAGTTCTCTTGTTTCAACTTCACCTTAACAACAGAATTGGTTGAAGTCTGAATTTGTGGATATAGCTCATCAACTCAGTAGTTCTGGCTCAAAACAGAGAAGGATCTTGATTTGTTAACATTTTAAGCCCTTCGAAGGACTGCAGTCCAGACATATCGTAACACAACAGATAAAGGGTTCGGTGTAGGTGTCGTGAATAAACATGAATACAAAAGTAATATGTCATCGATTCTCTGTGACTAAGCGAATTCTGATACCTACAATCAGCTGGATGGTTGGTGAAAATGTTAAATCCAGTCAGAAATGAACTATATGAACTCTCAAGGTAATATTCATCACAGACTGATACTAGTTGGAGAACCATTGAAAACCTGAGAGCAATAAAGAGCTGCTTCGTCTTTAAATTGAACTCTTCAGCAGTGAACATCCCTTTATCCAGCCAGGGATCGAACTCCAGATCGTCAAGTCTCGCAGCGAACACGTTAAATTCCAGTGAGTTTTGTTGAAAGGACACATTCGGATTTACTAATTACTTATATAGCGTCAATGTCAAAAATAGGAAACTCTATCCTTCTAATGTGAAACCTTTATTCACTCACTAGTGTACCTCCAATCAAAGCTGTTTACTCTTTTCTCATCCCTCTAATTTTTAATTTTTACTTTTCAACGTTAGCCTTTTGGACAACTAGTTTGCATCGTTGTTGGTAGGGCTTTACAACCTTCGTTAGTTGAGCCTTATATGTTACATGCAGAAATGTTGGCTGGTGGTTTGATCTGTAATGTTTCTCTCTACAGATCTGTTGAAAATATCTTAATGTATAGAGGACATGATGATTCAACATGCTTATTGGAGAGTCTTAGCACTATACGACACCATATCAGGTTGACTGGTGAAGTAAAAGACGACAGTCGCCTGCCTTTCCTGAACATACTATTAACTTGAAGG